GTTTCGCCACAATTTTATGCAAATATACATGAACAATGCATCAACGATACCAACGGCAGAATTAATATTAAGATGTACTACAGAATAAAGGAAATGCTCCCTGGACGTAATTTTTAAAATTGATATTAATTTCATATAAAAATCAGTAGTCTGGTAATGGTAATTCAGTCGACAAAGAAAGGAGGCCACCGAAGAAGTTTTAAGGATACTCGACTCTCGTGAATAGTAGGTCTCTGAATCGCGGTTATCAAAGGAATGATTACCAATTAACGAACGGCGGTTGTTTTCGCCGATCAATGGAAGCATATTTACCGTTTCGCCAAGTGCGAGCTCGCGCACCGACGCGAGATACAAGACTGATCAATAGGCGACATTCGCACCGAGCGATTTGCATATGTGTATATGCTAATTCCTAGGTACTACTATCAATATCGCGTAATGTACACATTTCTGGCGTGCCACGTTATAAATCTCGTTGCCCGACATTTTTACCCGTTGTCCGCATAAACGCGCATGCAAATCGTTTATACGACAATTATCTCACGTAAAAAGGAACCACGAAACTTGGACGAGGATACCAGGGAAAAGACTGAATGACACGTCTCACATTTCGCGAGGAATGAGTGGAATCAAAAGGATCCAGTCGTTGTCGGAGCAGAACTGTATACTAATAAGAGGAAGCCTGAATCTCTCGAAATCTCAGTTGATCTCGCGCGAAATTCGCGATAGAATTTGAACAATCCCGGGCAGTTATCTAATTTCGCAAGAGAAAGGCGAAGGTACGAAGATGGAGTGGCGCCAAATGTCGTGGATGCAATTCCCGGGTAGTTCCAGCTGAATGACAAGTAAATCAACCGTATAATTGGAATTCAATTCGCACAGTGGCACAGATACACGACATTAGAATTCCAGCTGCGGGCCTTCGTCGTTGTACGCCGCTGGCTCACGCGCGCGCGTGCACGCGTACGCGAGTACGCTTGCAAAGTTAAGCGCGGATCTCGCAGACCGAGCCAAGGTGCACGATCGAGCTTGCTGGACGGTGTATGCAAATCACCGCCCCATTTCAAGAAGAAAAGCGCAGGAATGCGCTAATGAACGTACAGGACCGAGTGGGCGTATCAATACGATTCGACGATCATAAATTTCGAGTAAAAAGACGTGTACGCGTGTCAGTCAGTCTGTTAACAGTAAGAATGAAATGAATAGCAATTCTCTAGATCGAACATTGCCTCTTGGAACACGATGCATGTGCAATCTCTTTTTCAAATTCGATTTCGAATAATTTGTCAGTTCTCGAATTGACGTTCACCACACGTGAATAATCATACGACAACGAAGAGTGTTTCTTAATCTTTTTAACGCGAACGAGAAACTCGAACTTTCGAACTGAGAGAGAGTCGATGTAAAAGCAGAGAGCAAAATACAGGACGGTAAAAGGTAGAACAGCACGAGGGAAGATGTCATTTGGCGGCGGTAAGGGTAGCGTTCAAAGGCGGCAGGGGATGCACAAGGACTAAAACCTAGAAGGTTAACAAAATCAATACCAGTGGGTGGTAGAAAGCTGGCGGTCGGTCTGCTAGGGGCTAGGTCGGCCACTGACCTTTATCCAGGCCAACTACATCATCCCCGTTTCTACTCGCGCACGCATACACGCAAAGGGAGCCTCGTGTATTTCCACTGCGAGCCGTTTTCGTCGGATGAAAACGACCCTACGGCTTTGTGAATGCCTAACGAGGAAAAGGAAAGCGACCTTCTGCGCTCGATCGAAACCCGAACCTTTCAACGATTCGAACTTCGAGCTCGCCAGAATATCACGAGATGAATCGTTCTCGTTGAGAAGTCAGTAAAATTCGGCCTACTTAGGCGAGAAGAAAATAGCAAGTTCAGCGTAATCTAAAAATAACGAGATCGCTGAAGGGCTGTTTTAGATTCCGCGAGCCTCGTTTCCCTAAACGACTCGACGGGATGTCCCTCGTCGAGTACAAAGTATAATAAAGTAAATTCATGTTCGAACAATAAAAGAGAATGTCAAAGGGTCTAACTACGTACTCTTCCTCATAAAACCGGGTTCATATCTGACTTGTAACCTATGCAAATTTGATTTTCCGGAAACACCGGCCGCGTGTAATTTCGTCTTTAAAGCGAATCATTAGATCGCCCGTTCCGAGGAACCAAGTTGGCGCCGATCTCGTGCAAATTCCGTGGAACGTCATCTTTAACCATTAAGGAACACTCGACGGAACTGAACTTCCGTGAACTAAATTCGAGCGCGACGGCACGACGAAATTTGATATTCGAGATCATGCATCAACTAATTGTGTCGTAAAGAGATGTACGATCACTCAAATCAATTGGAGGAACCAACGTTTTCACCGAGAGCCGAATAATGACAATGCTTATTGTACTTTTGACATGCACATTTCCAACATTGACCAACTCTTTCACCGGTCGACTAATAATTATTCGTAATACATGAAAACGTTTGTATCAATCAATCGAACAACGTGAAACGCGATTGGGACGAATTGTTGGGACGAAAGGTAGAATGAAATTGGACGTCTGTCTTCAAACTGGTCTCCATGTTAGCATTTTTACTAGTGAGAATTAGCATGCTAGGCGTTAGTGACTAGCGATGTCGCGATTTAGGCCAACGAACGACGGCGGCGGTCGTCCTTGCCGAGCAATGTTGTCCTGTCGTCCACGCGACCCGCTTTTTTCTAAGATGTGGGACGGATTACTAACGCCTGCTCTCCTCTTTCATTTAGAAATCCACGCGTGCGAGAGTAGAAATTCATTGACAGATTTCAAATCGATCGCGCGGTCATCGTGTAAACTATACGAAGTGAATGAATGCCAATAATCGTTAACGACCCACGCATACGGAGTAGCAGCCACGAGTGATACAACGTTGCACACGAAATCATATACAGGTTCGGCCGAGTGTATCGAGTAGATTTTTAAGGTCGATTTTCTCGAAAACGGTGATACGATAAGAGGATACGATACGAGTGGATATACTGTAGAGACACGACCGGTAGTTTCCGTACAAGCAAATGTAGTTTCAAGTCGCGACATCGTCAGACGGCTAATCACTGATTACACAAATTTGCAGGGACGGTTCATTTGCCCCGTAGCCAAAGATTAGTGTCATTCAATGTCTGTGACGAGGCGTTTTCCACTTGTTGACGACGTCTGATCGTGGAGCCTGGCGTCGAACAAAACGGTACCTATACATACACGCAAAATCGAGGAGATCCAAGATCTACGCGGCTATACGATTAACGATCAAACATTTGATATCAATGTGCATTGAAAATTGCAATGTACATTCTACTTCTGACATTCCGTGTATCATTACGCGTTGCGTTTACGACTGCTGCACATTCGATTTTTCTAGATGAATCGGATCATCGATTGAGAAGGTTCAGTGAACGAGGCATCGTTGTAGAATAATGATAAGGGCCTCGCGTATGCAATGAGCAAGTCGTGTCTTAATAGAACGACGGGCAGGATCTTCTTGAATGCCAATGGGGCAAATCGAACGAAATGACCGAAGATGAAGACAAATGGTCCGCGGTACTAGTCTCCTAAAAGTAACGCTGGACGATCAGCGGAACGGTGTCTAGACTCGACGTTCGCAATAACACGTCGAGTTTCAGTATTTATCAATAATCGATGATTAGACTGCAGACTTTTATGCAACATAGAACTACGATACTACCGATAAAAGAAGTGAGACACAGGACATTCTTTTTAGCGTTATCATAAGAACGTCAACAGTTTATGTGCACTTCCTGCAACGCTACTAATAATAATATTTCCTCCATTGCTTTATTCAAACTCGACGTACGAACGAACAATTGCAAGCTGCCAGTGCAATAATAGCGAGCGTGACTAATTTAGAATTTCGCGTAATTCAATTTTCTCGTGAAGCATTTCGTGGTGGTAGGAACGCGGGCTTATGTTCACACGGAAGATCGGCTGATACGGCCTAATACGTGAGAGCTGCCGATTAGCCAATTCCAGCCGGTGCAAATGGGATCGTACGATCGCCACTTCCGACGCGTATTATCTAAACAGATATTTCAAATGGAAACGAATATTTCGTAGAAAGTGTCGCCTTCCAAGTATTCTGCGTTTCAACACACACTCTGTGACCGTGATTCGTTCTATACGGACGACGACTAGACTTCAAATGTACTAGGAACTTCACGGAATCCTTGAATTTTTACAACGTGCAACGAACTTGCGTGAGCTGATAGACAGATAGATCTACGTACGCGGGTAGCATCGGATAATAGCTGATCGATCAATATGTTCTAAACTGCCGATTGTTATGCAAAGTAATGCGTTCAGATTACAGTTACAACGAATCGAATTTGTGCATGCTTTGATTTCATTTGTTAAGCGTCGTAGTACGATTCTGTTATTTCTCACGTTCTTGCACGTGTGCACGTTTGTTTATTATAAACGCATAAAATTCACAATCTAGTCACACGATATTCTTCTTACTACGACAATGGGCAGAGATCTGCTTCGAGCTTTGATAAGTGGTCTGTCGCCTTTACGCGCGTGAGACTCGACGCGTAGTACAACGTGAATGCGTCGATTCCGTTGAGATAGGGCACACGGTGGTGGATGAAACCACGAGAGTCCAGAACTGAACGAGTTCAACTGGCAATTAGATCGGGCAATAACCCTCTAGTTTGTTTCAACTACCACATTATTGCATCTGTTACGTGCCTCGCCCTAGTATTAGGTGGAGAAATTAATAACAGTTTCAACCAGACATACCAATTAATCAAACGTAAGAGAAACAATACCGTGCACAAAATACAATTTATGCACTTTGATCCACGTTACATCAAACGAATAAAAATAATGGAAGTAGACATGCGACACAAGATGAGATAATGTTGGAATCAAACGGTGAACGACCATAAAGGATTATGGATCGATTCGTAATTAGACAGTGGTATAAAAAGAATATTGAGACTCACCACATTGCCCTCTTCCAATAATATGTTCCTCGTCCAGTAATAACTACTAACACTACTCCACCTGCAATTAAAACAATTGATCGCATAAATATTCAAATTTCCAGATCGACCGTAACATCTACAAATAATTGATCGGCTAATTGCACATGACTTTACTTATTGCGAAAGAATTGGATCGAAACGAGTTAAAGTCGATCAATAAAATTGAAAAGCCTAATAAAATTCAGTATCCCTTTCGTACAGACGTGCAAGGGGTTGACGAAACCAGTTCTTACCTGCTGACGTTCTTTTGTGTACGAGTTATTGTTGGCATACTACACGCTCCAATCTCCTTATTGAATTAATTCGAATTGCACAACACTAAACAATTAAAGCAATTAACATTAAACTAAACTTATGATCACGTAACGTCGTACACCACTTTCGAAACTTCTCCAGAGACTTGATGTGTCGTACGAGGGAAAACTCATTATGCAATGATAGTTAAGAGACATCTGTGAACAATATGAAAACTGCAACATTAGAGGTGTCACTCTGACCCCACTTCAGTTCTATGCTCGCCGAAGATTTGAAGCAATAACGGTCGCCGGTGGTGTTCTGGCGAAAAAGATTTCGGAAACTAAGAAGATCCTAGGATAAATATTGTGTGATTCGGACGTGAGAAGTCTTTACGATGATCCTCGAAAGTAGTGCGTGGTGTATCGTTCAATGAAAAACGTGTGTAATTCGAAAACGTACACGACGCGTATGTACTCCAAAAGCTCGCGTGTCCCCGAGAAAGCCGTTACTTTGGCCGTACGAAGAACAAAGTTCTCTGGTATTAACGTAAGAAGGAACGATTCAAAAGCCGGTAGTACGGCGACGTATTTATCCAGACGGTAGACAAATACATGTGTGTACTTGGTTCACCCGCAGGTACATCTATGAAGCAGCAAGGAGATCGACAAGTAATTGCACAGCCAGACGAAGTAAGGAGATGGACAACGAATAAAACTGCAGAGTCAGACGAAGGAAGGAAGGAAGGAAGGAAAGAGATCGACACCGAGCGACGGTTCACAGCCAGACGAATGTGAGTTTTTACTTTTCTTTTCACTATTAAATTCGAGTATCGTAGAACTTCGTTTATCCGAAGCAAGAATTCGAGTTCAGAGGTGAGCCTCTGCGATCGTACGTATTCAGTTACACGAGCACGTCTTCTTATCATGTTAACACCGATCTCTCGTTCTGAAAAACGTAAGGGATAACACGTGACTTTCTATTATCCGTACGCTGTATTCCTTCGACAAATCTGACGTCGAGACCAAACTTCATGTCGTGTAGGTACCCTATTTTAATGTTGATGCATGTTTCGCTCGAACGCAGACAGACAGATCGCACGTCAAACACGAGGTGTAAACATTCGCGTCGAGTTACAGTAGTAATACATCTGCGAAACTACTCTCGATGAAAATTTATTTGTCATATTCGCGAGATTCTTCTGATTGAAAATATGCCAAACTTGTTATAATCTCGATTATGTTTATTCTTGTATGAAAAATTTCACATAAGCTAAGCATTCACATTTTTTCCTCAAGTATATTTGTAAAACACACGAACGATAGGATACGAGATCGCATTACAGTAATTGGGATCGAATTGCACGATGTCGTATTCATCGTTTCACTAGTTCCAAACGAGATTATTCTTTTTCTGATACTGGAGATGAAAAAGTGCTATTGTCACCTGTAAGACCTTTTCACGTTTAAGAGATACTGTATCTCGTATTCGAATTAGGAAGCAGCTGAATTTCTATCACCTGAACCATTCTCATAAACGAGGTTCTACTACAACTGTAGACATGCGATAAATTCTCAAAATACAAAATCATAAAGGGTGTTGGATATCCTTAAAAGAAATTCTATCTATTTGAAAACTTACTTATTATTACTAGGGCTGCTTCTAAAGCAGATTAAAATATTAAGATTAAAATGATTGTGTTCTACACTTATTGCATGTCTCTGTTCTTATCTATCTAACAACATCGTGTAAATATAACTTGTTTGTTCTCTCCACTTTCTCATGTATATTAAGGATATATTGGCTACACAGTCAATCCCAAAAGTTTATGTACCTTAGAAAAACGCATTTCCTATAATTAAAAAGAAATCTGACGTCGGAAGAACAATGCTAATAATAAATAGCTACGTGCTAAAAAGTATAGAAGGAAATATCCAATTAATTATTG